CCTTTATGTGAAGAAATTCACATATAGGCAACTTAACATCGTTTCTTGACAAGTTAAGTATATGCTCTCTAATATTATACACAATGTTGTTAGTTTTAAAATGAATTTAGTAATTTTCTATACAAGATATTAGACCGAGAGGTCTAAGGAATCGGTTAATATTAAGAAATATTTATAACTAGGTTTCTGAACATCACTGAACATACTGGCTTCCCCACAGATAATCTAATAAGGGGGGTATTTGTCATACTTTCCACTTTTGGCAGACGGGTTGGCAACCGCAGTTTTTTTTTACTTTGGATCTAGTTGTTAAGAAGATGATGTGAAGATGGTGCCACACCCACGATTTGGGTTAGCTGATATTCTTTCAACCCCAATACACATTGTATTTGAATACTTGTGTTATAAATTTCCACTTTATCTGATACTAAATAGATCTGGAAAAAATATTTAAAAAAGGTTATTTCAAGCATGAAATATATATTTTTTATAGGATAAGGGTGACAAACGAGCACACAGTCTACCTGATGGTAAGTGGTTGCTGTAGCTCATAGACATCTACATCTATCTTCGATTAAGAATCAAAATGCAGATGCGTTGTCACCCGTGAGGACTAAGATGGAATACTTCTTTTCCAGTAAAAAGGGTCTCCGGTTCTCTACACTCACCATACGAAACACAGCAGTGTTAAGCTGCTATTTAACGCTGGTATTCTGTGAGAGTGTGTCCTTCCCCGGTCGAGCCGACCCATTCGTGCTACAACTATACTACCAATATAGCTGCAGCATAGCTCTACCACGTATAAAATGTTTTAATGTATTTTTACTAATCCTATCTATAAATTAATTTGTTAATAACAGTTACAGGCTCTGTCTGAAGTAAATCAATAAATAATAACTATTATTAAAACATTACATGAAAAATCACAATAAATATCCTCGATTCAGAAAATTTCAAAATTATGTTGTAGTACAGTCGCTTTGCCACGTCCACGCACAATAAACAAATAGCTGTTATCACGCGCGGAAATTACTTCCGGACGGTTCTGTCTTTTATATTGCGAAATTAAGTATCCGCCGTGAGTGACTTGTGTGCGATGCCTTACGATGAATATTTTAATATGTTGATGTGTCTTGGGAAATGTGCCCGAATGCCCGAAGTGAAGGGCTGGCCCAAGTTGGCCACTATGCGTGGACTTGTCGAGCCCTTGGAAATGTGTTAGTGGGCTGAGAAGAGAGGAGAGTTCTCCCCCTATATCGCTGCAGGGATGCGCCACTCGACTATTCTCCGCCACTTTGGCGGGGCTACACCATTTGGTGCTGGGGAAGTTTGAGGCCGCGAAGGGCAGTGTGCCTTGTGTTCCTGGTGTGCCTTATCTGAGAAGGATAGATGGAGGAGAACTCTACAACTAAGGAGGGGCTGCTATTGGGCGGCTGGCTGGCGCTGGTGAGGCCGCGGATGTGTTTGACAGCGCTTCCGTGGGCCTGCCAATGTGAGCCGTAGGTGGAACACCATGGGGTTATAGTAGGTGCGAGTCCGATATAATCCGTTCTTGCCCCCGTGAAGCGGGTATGCGTAGGCATTTCCTCATTTGAAACCCGGAACAAAATCCGTTCTGTAGTTACGGATAAAAATGTAGATAGACCAACGCAGCGTCGATCTTGGTTTTATATGAGGTGTAAAGCTTGCTTCTAAGGCCTAGGTTTTAGGTGATACATTTATTTATTGTATGGCATTATATTAATATGATTAATAAATAGAATACACCTTACGGGTAGGCCCGGGTATAGAATTTTTATCGATATATTTTGTCACACTGTCTTATCTCTATTGTTAATTCCTTGGACGTTCACTTCTGTCAGCGCCAGAATGGCGAAAATCAAATCATCTCATTATGCCACGGTGTATAGTCCGGTGTACCAACTCTCGAAAGGACCAACCCGGGAGAATTTTATGAAATCGAGTGGGGGGGGGGGGGTTTAAGAAAATCTCAATCATTTATTAATTCAAAAAATTATATTTACTTTGCTTTCGAGCAGCATCTAATATATGTCGGTGTTTCACCACAAAATCATAAAAGTGAAAATACGTGAAAAATCGAAGTTTGTTAGTACTTGTAACTCTGCTTTTTTTATATATAGGAGAGGGGGCAAACGAGCATGCGGCTCACCTGATGGTAAGTGACTATCGCCGCCCATGAACCGCCGGCCTTTTAAAAAGGAGTAGGTTCTTTTCTTGAAGGTCCCTAAGTCGTAATAAACTTACTAAAGAAATACTCATTCGGTTTCTTTCCTTGCTCCGAGCTTGTTCCATCATGCTGGAACAAATGTGACCATATTTTTCAATTCAGGACAGTGATTTCTGTCTTTCGATTTCGTAAGAAGTCAACCCAGCTTAAATTCACTCGATTTTCTTCAATGAGCTGTTGTTGAATCTCAGGAAAAATCCAACCTCATCGTACAGTTTGTCACTATCTAAGTCAATATTTAATAATTTCTGGAGTCTAGTAATGCCTGTCCATGCGATTGGCTCTTTTAGAGATAAAATATTTAATGCTTGATATTCTGGATCTTCACCGGATCAGACAGACACCGCCGAACCACCGTCGACAACGACAACGGCGCGGCGAGAGGAACTGATTTACACCGGCAGCGGCGCGTTATGTGTGTGTGACCGTAAAGCGAGTGAGTAGCGACATGTGCGAGCGAAGGATGCGTATAATTTTTAGAAAAATCGGAGAAATTATTGGAGTCTCTTTTTCTTTCTCTACTTTTCTTTTAATTCCGATATTTTCGGAAATTTTAAATGACACGTATGTCAAACACGCAGATGAAAAAAACTTTATTACATCAAAGACTACAAACTGAATAATAATTACTGTACAAAACTACATATTTCTATTTGTTGTTTTGTATAGTATATTTTCGATAACGTTCTCGTAATCAAATTCATAGTGCATTATCAAACTTACTATAACGTATATTTTTATGACCGTCTTTCACGAAATTGTAGCGAATCCAAATGAAAGTTGTCCTAATTTGTTTGTATCTGTGGCTTCGTAATGATTGGGTGTGAAATCGCCCGACCGCACTGGGACCGATCGGTCCCAGTGGTGTCTGACGACAAAGAATTACATTGGAGGACATAAAAGTAGATAGGTATTTTATCACAGTAATTGAATTGAATAAAATTTTTATTCATTTTTATTTTATTATTTTCGATATTGACTTTCAGATATTAAAGGTAACAGCACTGATTTTTATGATAAACATACAAAGGGAAAGAAAGGGATAGAATCATTAGTATTGTCTAATTATCTAATTAATAATAACCTAATTAATTTGGCATGCACACAGATTTAACACTTGAACACTACTAAATGGTTACTAGTACCGTAGCTTATATATAGTTGATAAAATACTAATAGTTAGCATTATATGCGCAGTCAATTGGTTATATAGTCTGAGACTATGGCAGCCACAAGGATTAAAAAACGCCCGGGTAAACTTTTTAGTTATGCGACTCTGAACTCCTTCTTGTTGTTCAACCATATTAGCCTTATCCTCTACAATCATTCATACAAATGTCGTATTTATCGACAATTTCGTCCAAAAATATGCCTTTAATCCCTTCTTCGCTGCAGTCTGTCACAGGTTTATACGTCAGAAAGCATTCACGCACACAGAATTCATCAATATCGAAAAACCTAAACGTAAAGCTCATTTATTCAGTGTGAGTCATATCGGGTGTAAAGTCTAAAATAATAGAGAAATATTTGGCTTTTTTAATTTTAAATATGATCTGCCCTCTAACTCCTTTTCCTAATAAATGTATCACTTTCTTGTTTATATTTTTACTGAAATAGTAGTGACTGGCGCAAATGCTCTGTCATAACTGGATAAAATATTCCCAATAACTCAACTAAACCAAGAAAGTTACCATTATTTGGTGTATTTAATTTGTCACTACTGCCACCAAAAGAGGTTGTGTTCCGCCAAAAAAGTGTGATTGATACTATTCTTTCTAGTATGGAAGACTTAATTTACCATTTTTCACTTGCATTTGAAGGGCGTTTTCGATTCCAGAACATGTCCCAAATCTTTTTGAAGTTTCGAGACAACATTAATAAAGCTAACTGGTGGTCGCCTGAATTTTCATGGGCCTTCAGTACTGGGGATATATGTGACCAATCGTCAAAGCCCGCGTTGCCGGGATTACAAGGTTTAGACCAGTTAAATATATAGCAGCAAAAACAATAAATCTTCTGTACAGACTGAGTGTATCAACCATTTCCGATCATAAATTTAGTCGTTTGACGTGACTAGCTGAAAGTGCGCATTAGAGAAATGGCGCTCTTTTACATTCTGTGAGTGATCTTTATCTGCCAGCTTTCCGTTGTGTGGGCCCTGCAGTCTTATGAAGTCTATTGTTTTAGACGACAAGGACGGCGACCTCTGAGCAATATCTACAGATATTTCTGCGGTGGTCATTGATATGGCTGTTATTTTTGCAGCCGATGGAGCAGCATTATAAGATGATTCTGCATTATGGGGTCTATCCTGAATCTCCGCCACATTATTTGAAATATTGTTTGAAATAATTATGCATTTGAATCGCTACATTTCATAATAAGCCAAGTCCGAAAAGATCGTTTAGCTGTAAATCGATTTTTTTATTTTAACTACTAGCGGTATACAGTGACCTTGTCCCTCTTTTACTGTTCCTTAACTATATATACTACATCTTTATCTAATATTTCACCTGTGTAAATAAATCAGCTAGCAGATTAAAATGTAATTTTAAGTGGATATAATCTGCTCATAACAAAACAAGCCAAATCCATGGTACTTGGCTTATTTAGAAGAAACAGAAGTACTGGACTTGGTTTAGTTTGATTTAATAACTTACGGGGGCCGGACTAAGGTCAAGTACCCAAAAAAGGATTAGATTGAATATATCGGATATTACAGGAAACTGAAAAAAAAAACAACTATCGGATTAATCATAAAAATTTAGTAGTATTTATTGAAAATATTAGTTTTTGTTAAAAATCATTTTGTTCCTTATTTTGATTTAGAAGTTTGAGTTTTGATAATTACGTTGAAACGAAATGAAATTATCAAACAAAATCTATTGATTCTTCGATTTCATGTTCACAACACTCATCACTGTCTGGAATTTCGAGGTACCTACCTATGATCCCTAGCTAGAACGTTTTTGTAAAATATCAGCACTTCCATGTTAGCCCAGTCAGAGCCATAATGTTTTGTGAGTAAATCTTTCACATTTTTTAATTTCAATTCATCGACTGCAATTCCCAACTGAACTTGTTCTGGAGTCATTTGCGTAAAACTTTTGGTGGAGCGTAGTATGCTTTTGGGTTCGGTACGAAATGTTGCGTGATCTTTTTCCTCTTCTCAAAATGACCCTTTTCACTTTACTTATTTGAAAGTGCCACTTACTGGCGGGCTTGACCGGTTTTGCCACGGCAGAACGATAATCATAAACTGGTACTCCTGTACCTAATTTATGAACAGTTGCGTGTGCCGGCTTATAACCTCATATTCGTTTGGGTCCACTATTGTTTCCAGTTTACCTATTTGAGTTTCTGTCAGTGCAAAAATACGGTCAGCCGGCAGAAATTAATGTCCAGTAAATAGAAATATAATATCGATAGTTTTTAATGTCGGTGGAGCCTCTCCGAGCCATTTATTTGCCATGCTGATGAGAAATGAATTTTAATTTTGGACTCCGCATTCGTCCGCCATTAATCGAATGGTATTTATATTTTCAGTGTCTGTTGAATTTAGACAGTGGTATAATGAACTGCAGATTTCTGTCGAAGATTTATACGTGACATCTTCAGTCCAAGTGTATGCCATGACATTTTACTTTTCAAGTTTTAAGTGTGAAGAACCTATTACTGCTGTAAAGTTGTATAAATAAAGTTGCCTGGAGTAATAAATAGATTGATCCGCCAATTTTGGTAATGGTAAATTCTTCTGGCAATCAAAGCTGATAGTGATCAATCTATTTTTCTCTTCTCTAAGTTTGCCAAAAAAGGCCTTGGCTCTTAGCTTATGGATTTGTAGCTGGATCATCAGTTTTTGTTTTTTAACTTTACATTTTTAAAACTTTATTTGTTCCTGTAGTTGTAAGCAGGTTGAACAAACATCTTTTCGGGGTGTTCCGAATCCAATGTTGAAGTTACGGTTAATAACTTTTCTGAAAAATGAATGTGTTACTGACATTCCTGGCGCAGCTTGATCATTATACATCTTGAACATCTTAGTGATGTTGAGTCTTGAATCAAGGTAAATTCGCTGTCTAATCTTACTTCGAGTATAATGTTGGTCAAAGGGGCTTAAAAAATTGAATGAATTTTATGACAGCTTCTTTTTTTGACCTAAATTCATATTCTTTGCGATTTCCACCTCGTCTTTCTTCGGCTACACAGCCAGACTTCCAGTGTCTCGTCAACACCCCTTTAAGACGACTTGGTTTTATTAGAAGAATATCAAGAAAGGCTTGTCGGCATACTTGCAAGTTTTTCCTGGACTTATGCTTGCGTACGAAGTATTGTACTGACATATTTTTGCTTCTGGAATTATCTTTAGGACGCTTTCTTTTTGTGTTTGGCATTTTACAATAATGTAATATGTAGTTATTCTGATCAATCTTATTTTTAGTGTGGTAAAAATTAGAATGAAAATAAAACATGTCATTCGATGTTAGATCACTGCACTGATATACCTGATTTTTGTTATGATTACATCTTGGCTTTACTGGCAGACCAGTTACTGAGTATCTGAAAGCAAATAGGACTAGTTAACCCTTTATAAGGCATAAGCATCTAGGGGTGGATAAGTAAAACTGTTGATGGTTTTAGACTATTTTTATTATGGTTTTTCACAAAATGCAAATAAGAAATTCAAAAATTTAAAAAAACACGGTGGTAAATATTTTCCCGCTGCCCGTGACGCCTTAACTAGCCTTTCCTATGAAATGCAGTAAAACATGGTGTTATGCAGAGCGGAACTTTGCATTTTTCACATATAACTTTCGATCTTTTGTCTTTTTCTTTTGTGCTACACATTCTGCAACGTTTATATGAAGGCGATTCAACGGGCATATGGTCTCCAACGTTGGTGAAACGAACTTCCTCTGCGACAACATGCACTGCCTTTTGGCGATTCTCAGAAGCAATTTTTTTTCTGCAGATATAGTTGACTAAACTACCAGATCGTCGTTTTCTACTGGAAAACCCACTGATCAGTCCTCTAGCGACAGAGACTCGAAATTCAAGATTGCTTAGTTTTGTCGCATTCTTATTTTGGCAATATAACAAGTATGCATTTGTTATACTTGTATCTAAAAGGAAAAAGAATATTCGGACCCACCATCTCCTACTTCTTCTGCCTACTGAATAGGTACTTTTTATCTGATCAAAGTGATCAACGCCTCCCATCCTTTTAGTATACTCCTTTATTGCTAACGGGCAGTTGATTTCTTGTTTTGTGCCGTCTTTCTGAGTCCGTAAGACAGTGGTTTTGCCAACTTTTGGATGGAATGCATTACTCAATAGGAGAACCTCTTTGGTATCTTGCCAAACTAAGAAAGATACATTTCCCTTGACTCTCCATTTATATTGTCCTTTTGCAAGCTTCTGATTCGTTTTTACAAGTACAGGCAGATGTTTTCTGTGTCTTCGTACAGTTTCTGTAGCATAAATGCCATTTTCATATAGATATTGCATTAGAGTGTAGTCACAGAAGAAATTGTCAAATGTAATAATAATATGATATTCCTCCAGTGCTTTATTTATCAGCTTTTCAGTCAACATCTTCACAACTTTGGATCCTAGTCCTTCCTCTGTTCCGGTTTTTGATTTTCCAGTGTATATGTAGAATTCATAGAGATACCCAGTTTTACTGTCACAGCGACACCATACCTTGTAACCTCTTTTTATGGGCTTTAGAGGCATATACTGTTTCATGGAAGACCGGCCTTTGAAGAGAATCATCGATTCATCAATACTTTGGGATGAGGAGTCTTTGGCATTTTTCTGACATGCCTGAGTGATAAGATCCAATAATGGGCGTATTTTGTAAAGTTTGTCATAGTTCTCGCTTGTCTTATCTGGTATCTGTGTATTATCATTCACGTGCAGATTTCGCAATATCTTCTTGAATCGCTTTACGGTCATAGTCTCTGCTATTTCATCTACCCTGAAACCAGGGTCGGAAGACCAATAAAGGTCAATAGAAGGCAGAATATTGTATCCCATTATTATAAAAATCCCTACAAAGGCCTTCAGTTCTTTTTTATCTAATTGTGTCCATCCTTCATCTTTCCTTTGCTCTGCATATAAGTTTGTTTGATATATTATCAAATCGTAGACTTCATCAGTGAAGAATTTTTCAAATACAGTTACAGGTCTAGTACGGCTGCTAAACATAATTGCCGGTTCCATCGGAATTTCATCGTAAACGCTAGGACTTGGCCGATCAGTTGTCCACATAGTTTTTTTCCATGTTTCCTCTTCGCCGTCTGAATCATCTGTTTCCGAATCTGAGTTAGTATTTGCTACTGGTGATTGTGGTTGTCGCCGTAAGGTCTGTTGAGTGCCAGAAGTACTGGGTGCATTTTGGATTATTCTTGCCCGCCTAAGCCGGTCACTGTTGGTTGGTTGAGGTGATGGACTAGGTTGGTTTTCAACAGACGCATTACTTATATTACTAATAAGACTATCAGGTGGATCAGGTGTGGGTGCTAGAATTCCATCATGAGGCTCATCAAGGCTCTCTAAAATTCTTTGAAGTTTCACTGTACTGTACTGCACATCTTCTTCATCGGATTCCAAATTATCATCTGACACATCGGGATCATCAGGTAAACCAAAAATCTCTTCTAATGCACAAGCTATTTCCAAGTCATTCAGTGCCTTTTCATTCATTTTCAAAATATAAATCTGTAACAACCAATACATACTGTCAGCTCCACGGGCAAAGGGAACATTTTTACCACCACAAAAAGCCCCTACTAACAAAATCTGCAAAATGTAGAATTGAAAATATGCTTGAATATCAATGAAATATACAATAAGCTTTAGAAATAATAACAACTTACCGTTCATGAGTCGCAGATATAAAAGATTTATAAAGATTTTAGAAGTCGTACCGAAACACACCCGATTTCAGTCTTCCAAACGTCACAGTGTAAAATCTAAAATGGCGACGTGTCATTACCATAGATGAAAAATGTTGACCGGATATCCATAAAAATGTTGCCAATAGGAAAAAATCTTTCCCTAAAATTTGCTTAACTAATAATGTGAAAATTAGTGGTGGGAAATATATTCCCGCTGCCTTAAAAAGGGTTAACGCAATAGTAAAAAGTACAATAAATAATAAAATAATTTGGATAAATAAATGCCTGTATACTTTAAGATTCAAATCACATAAATATAATTAAATTCAAAAGACTAAAAAATGTCCGAAAATATAAAAACTGAAACACTAGTAGGTAGGTAGGTTCTCTGTAATTGTACTCCATTGGACTGCACTAATACGGCCCTGGATAAAATCAGGTTATGGCGGATATGTCTACAGAAACATACCGTTTTTCCTTTAATTACTCTCGTTTCGTTGAGAATTTATGTATCACTAGTATCCTTGCTTTATCTGGAGGCATAAACGGTATTTTATCCATCATATATCTTCAATTTTCTGAATAAATTTGATAAAATTCCCAACACAGTCACAGTACCCCTCAATAAACCAGACGCAACTGGCAGCCATCTTGTTGGTAACGCAATCTCTGATTGGTTCACGAGGACTTGGTTTGTGTTAAAGGGGTTGTCATAAACTAGTTTGCTTAATTCCACATGAAGGTCATCTAGGTAAGTACCATACATACTGTGGAACACAACTTCAGCCGTTTTGAGAGCATCTGCCCCAGATTTAATTTTAAATCTTAGCCCGTTCGTAATTGTGTCATTATATGCCTTAATTATCGGTGATACTAAGAAACTCCATGCAAGATCCGCAGGTTTGTCATTCCACATTTTATACAATAAGAGGAGAGGAAAATATATCTTTTGGGTGGACCTTGCTGTTGTCATTAAAAGAATGTCTCCCAATTCCTTTAAAATCCCTGCTACTGTTCCTGGAGATCTGGCTTCCTTTAAACACGATACAGTCTCCTGAGCCATAGGTAGCTGATCCAGCTGATCGACCCCGACGAAAACCGTATTGGCGTTCACTAATCAACTGGTGATCCTCAAGGTGGAAGAATAAGGAGGTGATGGCGATAGGCCTGTAGTTGGACGGGTCTGAGCGGTCGCATTTTTTAGGGATCGGGTGGACAAAAGCTGTCTTCCATGATTTTGAGACTATGGCTAGGAGGAGTACCGCAAAAGACGCGTTAGAACCGGTGCCAACTCCGGAGCACACGTCCTTAGCACAATTGGGGGATACCGTCAGGTCCACTCGACTTGTGGATGTCCAGGGAGAGGAGTGCTTTGCGAACCGAGTGCTGTGAGAACCGCACATCGGGTTGCTCCACTCACACCACGGGATGGTCGGCGGTGTGTTCCCCCCGTTATCAAGATTAATTAGATTTTCGTGTTTGATTAAGAAACTTCGTTACATAAATCCGGACCTATGTTTTATTGAGCTAAAACATACCTTATAATTATCACCTACCTAATATTTATAAATACTTACATAATTAAAATTAATAACTTAAGTACAACGCATCAATCTTGGCGCATCACTATTCAACCGCTCTAGCTATGTATTAGTATTTATAGAACAGTGGCCGTCCTACTTATCTGGTCAAGGGCCATATAGGACAATGTTAGGTATCACTGCGGGCAGCGCATTCTTGGATTGTTTAGGTGACAACACCAATCAATTGACATATTTTTTGTGAGCTGTCAAAACCCGATTGCGCTCTAGATTTTTTCTAGCAATTGCTACCTGTGACTAATGTGAAGTCTTTATTTGCCAACTCAATAAACTAACTAGCATACAATGAACATACACAAAATACGCGAAACAATCTCTATCGGATGGAATCGAACCCACGGACACCCGGCACAACGGTAGTGGCGAGGTGACCACCAATGAGAAGACCAGACGGGCCGTAAATTATTATTATATTTATAATTATGCATAATTATGCGGCAGCCTTTGATAAGAGGCGGCACGTGCCAAGGCGGCGCAATATTAAGGCGACCGTATCTAAGCGAATGGACTTTTCATAATATAGATAACCTGTAGTGAAAATAGATAGTAAATAAGGTAAGGATAGGTATGTTGGCGATAAAAAATGAAACATACGCATTATATAATTCTTCAAAAATAATGCAACAGATCACTTTTCTTTATTACTTTACTTATTATTTGAAGTAACTACCTAGATCACTTATCTCAACAAAACTCTAATAAGTTTTATAATAAATAATAAACAAACATACAAGGTTATCTAAGGTAAGCTGGCGATATAGTCCGGTAAATTGGTGATAGTAGATAGGAAATATGGTGATATTTTGGAAACTGTAAATATAGTCAAATATCTAAAAATATTATTCGATACAACGATCACATCTATAATATAGTTGTTCTTCAAGGTCAGTATTTTCTATAGATGCGTATACCTCGTGGTATGGCGTCAAACAATATGAGCATTGGATCCATTTGGCTCCATTCTTTTTTTAACATCTGTTGAGTATAAGACTTCACATAAGCCACACTCCCAATCATCTTCTTCTTTACTTTTTTTGTTTTAGATGCAGATTTACCCGAAGTGGAAGGCTGAGATTGAAGATCTTCTTGCATAACATTTTCATTAGTCAGTGTTAAGCATTTCGCACTAGAATCTCTTTTTCTTGACCTCTCTGGACGTCCTAAAGCTTTGGGTGTTTTTAAAATGTCGTCTACTGTGAGTTCAAGTTTTGAAGAAAGATGAAGGTCGTAATGCTTCTTTTGGAACTACATTGTCGTTTAAAGGGCATATGCCTGTTTTTTTAAAAGCATTCTCGATGTTTTTTTTAGTAAAGGCGCTTATAAATGCTGGATTCATTATGGAATGGAAGTTGCTACGATTTGGAGCATCTCTAGGGTTATCGTTCATGTACCGATTCATGCTGTCGCGCCAGTAACTCTTAAGTGGCTTAAATATTCCTACATCAAGTGGCTGCAATAGATGCGTGCAATGAGCTGGGAAAGTAAATAAATAAACTTGATTATCTTTCGCAACTTTAAGAACTTCTGCTCCAATATGTGCAGAATGTGAGTCTTATGGACTACAGGACGTTCAGGTGGCATCGCAGTTATAAAAAAATTAAACCATTCGTAAAATAATTCAGAATTGACCCATCCCTTAGGAGATAGTTTAATTAATGCGTTGGGGAGTGCATCATTTTTGAGTGTATCATTCCACCTAACACCTTCAAAAATTATCATAGGAGGAATCCATGTTCCGTCCGCACAAATACAAGCTAACATTGTTTGAGTTTGACCTCGTTCAGCGTAGGATCTTTTATAAAAAAATTATTTATTTATTATTACTCCCCCAGTAGATGGCTACAGAGCCCAATTCATCACCGAACCAGCGAGGATGGTCGGGAACAGAATAGGGCTCCGCTACTACTGCAAGGGCAACCCGCCACTCCGCAATGGTCTGCATAAGCAGATGTTGTGCATTGCGGCAGTGGTTCAGATTGCCCTGGAGAACTTTAAGGGGTGTGAAATTTATTTTATTTTTCGACCACCTCCATTGCCGAGTTAGGACTCGGTGCAGGGACTGATGTCGCTGTGTCCGGCGTATTTATGGATGCAGACGGAGTGTGCTCGTTCTTCTTTCCCTTGTTTTTTTAGGAGGTGGGTCGCACTTTTTACCAAGTCTGTGGTTGGCAAGACACCTGGGTTCCGACGCGTTGCACTGTTTGGCTCCGTGTCCAGGCTCACCACAAACGTAACAGCGTTCGGCTCTATTCTCACCTGCTAGCAACGTGCCTTCTTTCAAGGCATCGAAAACAATGCATGGGCCTGGGTTCAAGTACCTCCACTCAGGCAGACCCACAACATATCCGTACTCTCCCAGCGGCTGCAATCTTATGGATTGCCACGACAGGACATCGTACCCAGCACGTCCCCATGCGAGTGGGTGTTCGTCGGACTTCCCCGACTTTTATGTTGTCTATTGAACAACCCCCTGCTTCAGCCATCGCCGCTGCAATCTCTTCAGCGCTTACGGCATCGTCGATGTCCCTCAGCCGGACGTCACTTATTTTGATTGGGCGACTAATTCGACTAATTAATTAAAATTAGTCGAACTAATTAAAATTAGATCCGGGAGAACCTCTCGCATCTTTGCCGCCAGCTTGTCCGCCTTCTCTCCACAGTTCGAACCTGTTATCTCCAGCAGGAGTCCTCCAGTTACTGCGCGTTTAAGGCGAACATTTTCTATGCCAAAGTCTGCCAAGTGGATTTTGGCTTTGGCGTCCTCCATTACTTTAGCATAAGTAACGGAGGAGCTTTCCAACACCGTGATTGTTACTGCTGCAGAAGTCGGGGCACGCAAAATCCTTTTCTTGTTGCTCCTTTTTTGTATTGTACTCAGAGGCGAAGCCGTCGTGTTGGACCACTTTTGGATGGCCCTTGCTTTTATCGGCTTCTTAGCAATTTCCACCCACGAACTGACATTCGGTGCTAAATTATTCACCACAGGTGCACCTACTGGGGGGAGAGCGGCCGGCGGTGGAAAGGCGGACTTCTTTTTTTTCCTCTTCACCCTTTGTCTCTTAGCCTTCTGCGGCTGCAGTAGTGCCTGTGATTCCAACGGTTGAGATGGATGTGCTGACAATTGCGGCAACGTTGTCTGTGGCTTATTCGCCCCTGCCAGTGGAGGCCGGATAACCCTATCTGGAAATATCTTGGCCTCAAAGATAGCCAGCTTTCTCTCAATTAGGGATCCTATGCGCTCCATGAGGCCCTCCTCTTCACTCCAGATTTTTTGTTGGACTCGACCCGGTCAATTTGACCTTGTACTTGCTGTTTGGGATGGATCAACCTTTTGCTTACGGAGGAGATTAATCTCCCTCGTTAAGTTTTCGGTCTTGTTGGCAAGGCTGGCGAGCTGCGATCGCAGTTCCGTATTTTCCCTCTCTAGTCTTTTGATATTCTCGCTGGTAGCGGTCCTTCGTGCAAGTTCTTCAGTT